TTATGTTGTAATAAATATTTTGTTACAAGATTTTTGCTTAAAGTGGCTGTTAGTTCTGCAAATCTTTATTTTAGTGTTGGCACATATGGCCTTAATAGAGTTTTTTTCCCTAAATATAAAATCTGATTTAAAAAACTCTTAAGTATTTCTTCAAAAAGATAAGAAGCATTTAAAAAACATGATCAAAATAGAGTTACAAAGTTGAAAAAAGAAGATAAATGTTAAAAGCTTTAAAATAAGGCTGTCGTCAGGTACTCAGGCACCTTAGTACCATTGGTTAACACCTGCATAGCTACCAAATCACAGGTAACCATCATTTGATAAGTTTATAATCAATTTTGTTTTTTAAGTTTAAACTCATTATTTTTATAATATAACAATTTAACAATACTATGTTTTTGTTGTTCAAAATTTTAATATGAAAATCAGAGCTCTTCCATTTTGTTTATTAGTTTGTCTGTTGGATGGAAAATATAACTATTTTAAGCTCATAAGAGAAATCCAAGTTTCAATTAAGCAAATTATATTTAAAATGTTTTAGTTTCTTTATAAATAGTTATACATTTTGTTAAAAAAAAAAGATTTAAAAAAAGATTATGTATTCATTTTTTTTTAAAAAGAAAAAAAAAACATAGGATGATTCACTCAGGGGCGTGGTGGCTCTAAAAAGCCCATGCAGGATTTTATTAAAAAGCCTTTTTTTTCAACAAAGCTGCAAGCAGACACTAATTAGGGTTGGAAGTTACTGGAAGAGAAAAGATGAAGATTGTAGGACAAGAAAACGATTGACAGGTAAATTAAAGAATTGCCAATTATGTGAATCAGGAAAGCAAGATGAAGGAAGCGAATTACAAAGAACTGATGTTCAAGGAAAAAAACTAGAGGAATAAAAGTTTTTGGAGCACTTAAGAACAGTCACAGAAAAGGGATGAGACTTAATTGAATGACGAGTAACACGAGAATGAATTTTAGTAGTTGGCACAAGAAACGCTAGCTCTTTAGAGCAGCATCCATTATAGTATTTGTAGAAAAGAGAAAGAGAAGCAATATTATGACAATATGATAATGGTTGGAGGGTGGCTGCAAGAGCAGGTCCAACAATGTTTACAATCTTGTCTAAAAGAGAAAGGGCATCATTAGAAGATCCTCCCCAGATATGGCAACCGTATTCCATACAAAGCCGTATATTACGGTATATATTGGGAATTTACCATATCCATAGCTGGATGTAAAGGCCCATATATATATATATACATATTTATACATATATATACATATTTATATATATATATATACATATATATATATATACATATTTATATATATATATATATATATATATACATATATATATATATATATATATATATATATATATATATATATATATATATATATATATATACATATTTATATATATATATACATATACATATATATATATATATATATATATACATATATATATATATATATATATATATATATATATATATATATATATATATATATATATATATATATATATATATATATATGCTGTTAAAAAATTCTTTAGTAGAGTGTTGTTTTTAGATTTTCACACAAACTATCCAATTATTTATTAACAACATGACTAATTTGATAAAAAATTGGATGAAGAACTATAAAAGTTTTTACTGCTTATAAAAATATCTTATATTTTCTTATTTTAGTTAAACAGGCATTTTAAGAATTATTGCAATAATTAAAAATTCCACAATAAAAGTGAAAGATATATTAAAGTAATTAATATATAAAATATATAATTAATTACATAAAATGAAAATTATTATGCAATAAATTAGAGTGTAACAACTTTATATTATATTAGTTAAATATTTTTATATTTTATCAATTTTATATAGAGAGTAATATTTTTATATTTATCACTTAGTCCAATCTAATCAAAAGCATTTGAATTTCAATCTGGACTCTATTTTTTTTTTTTTTTTTTTTTTACAACAACCGCGCTTTTTAAAAAGTATTGCAATTAATTATGTAATTAATTTGTTTTATAAAAATGTGCCAGTGTGTTTTATTTTAGTAAAAATAATAACTTTAATTTATATATATATATATATATATATATATATATATATATATATATATATATATATATATATATATATATATATATATATATATATATATATCAGGCCTTGTTTTAAATAAAAAATGCTTAACGCATTAGCCTTATGTGAATTTGAGGTCATGAAACTCTTGTTTTTAATTTTTTTAATTTTTTAATTTTTAAAGACATACATTTTTTATATTACTGCAATAATATTAATTACTGCAAAACAATTTAAATAATAATAATAATAATAATAATAATAATAATAATAATAATAATAATAACAATAATAATAATAATAATAATATTAATAATAATAATAAGAGGTAGCTGTAACAACTGGTATTAACAGTTGTGGAGCGCAATAACAGTTGATATTGCACTGTATCAGCTTCGCACAATTCCTAAATCTCTAAACCAAATTATCTTGAAAACAATTTTGTAATAAAATGTTTTTGCATTAATTTTTAACTTTTTTTTTTAATTGTTACTATTAATGGTTATTTTCTTTCATTTTTTTTTTTTTTTTTTTTAATATTAAATAATTAAATTTAATATTACATTTTAAAAAATTTTTGATTTAAACAAATTTCTTTTTCTATTTTTTTTTAAATTTAACATATTTTAATTCATTTATGATTTAAAATATGTTAAATTTTTTTAAATTATCATTTTTTAAATTTCTAATTGCGGCTTTGCTACTAAAAATTATTTATTTAAAAAAAATTAGCAAGTAACAAAGAAAAAAAATTGCATTAACTTATTTACTTTATTTATTAAAAGTTTATTAGTTTATAACTGATTTTGTTATGAAAGCAAAGATTATTTTTCCAAATACCATTTATTAAAATCATACAGCTGTATATATCATTTATTAAAAAAACAATCTCTGTGCTTTAACTTGGGTTAAAGCTAAAAAAAGTTGATCTTTTTGTGCAAATTTTTGATGCAGTCTCAGAACATGTTTACAAAGAATTTAATTTTGAGTAAAAAAAAATGTTTAGGAAGAAAACTGAAAAAATAATTATGATAAAAATGAGCTTCTTTTTTTTTTAAGAATAAATAAAATTTAAATATTAAACAATATTTAGGAATACTTTAAAATAAATTTGACAGTTAAGTTAAACTCAAGCATTAACTTTAATTTTAATAAACTTAAATATACTTTTTTAATCAGAATTAAATTATATATTACTTAAATCAAAATTAAATTATATATATTTTATATCAGAAAAAAATTATATACTTTTATTAAATTAGTTTTAAATTAAATCATATATTTTTATCAGAATTAAACTATATTATTATGATCTTTGATTTAAGCTTAAAGTATTAGCATTTTCAACCTAAAAATTAATTATTATAAATCATAATATAAAATTAAGATAATATAAAATAAAACTTAACTTTTTTTTATTATTAATTTTCTTTTTACTATTTTAAGTAAATTGTTCTTTAATTGTAATCAAAAGTTGTATAAACAATCTTGTGCTCGCAAGTTAAAAATAAAAGTTTATATATATATATATATATATATATATATATATATATATATATATATATATATATATATATATATATATATATATATATATATATTTCTGTAGTATTTTTTATTTTTTTTAATTTTGTTTAATAACTTTGTACACAAAAAAAATTGTAGTTTTTGATTTTATTTGATTTATTTTCATTAGTAAATAGCGCTTATATCTAACACAATTGTCATTCAAACTTTTGTAACAAACTTATTTACAGGCCTTAATGCCTGCAGACTCACTGACATTTAGTGTAATAAAGGCACCAACGTTATTGACTGAAGGATAAAGAGAAAGGGCTCAGTCAATTTGATTAGAAAAAAGATCAAAAAGAGTGCAATGTTGAAATGATTAAATAGTAAATGTATGCATAAAAAATAATAATATATAAAGTGTTAAAAATTTTTTCCTAGTCCAGCTAAACCTAATCATTTTTTTAAAGCCGGGGCTGGAACTGGGTTTGTAAAAATTCCTAATTTTAGTCGGGGCCAGGACCCCGGTCACTTACTAAGACTAATGCCCCTGAATGGACATAATGAATAAATCCATATGGTGGTGTGGTGTGGTTGGGATCAAAATAAAAGCGTATGTACTTTATAGAAAAACCCATGTTTATATTTAACAGCATAACTCAAAAAGAAAAAAATTCATTTTATTATTATATTTTTTTTAATTTATTTTTTTATTCTGATTCACTCCCAACAAAGCTGCAACCAACCACTATTAAGTTGGGAGTTACTAGAAAAAAAGAATAGAGCTATAGAGCAAGGAATGGGTGATAGAAGACTTAAAAAGTTGAAGGCTGTCATTTGGTTATCATTTTTGAAATTGTCATATGATTTTGCTTCATTTGAGATCATCTATGATACATCACCATGACCATCATGATACATCACCATGATACATTGCCATGACCACCATGACTATCCATGATATATGACCATGACCATCATGATACACTTTTGAATAATTTTTTCTTTGCTAATATAAGGAACTCGCTACATGTTTTGAGGGACCCCTAAAAATACTTTTTATTTTAAAAAAAATTTTCTAGATTAGAAAAATATTAAATTTCTAGTTTTGCAAAAATACACTTTTTAAAAGATTTTTCTAAAACATTTATAAAAAATTAGTGCAAAACCATTTAAAAGACAATTTTTAAAGACAAGATTCAGGTAGTGTATTTATAAGTGAACATTTAAAACCGGAAATATTAAAAAACAAACTTTTTAAATTAGTCAATTTTTAAAATTGATATTATTAATTATTTCTTAAAAGTTCATAATTTTTAATAAAATGACAAAAATGAATAAATAAAAAACAGCAGAAAATTTCTTTAATAATTTCAAAAAAAAAAGGAATTAACTTACCAAAATGAGTGAACTGTTCTATTGTTAAAATAGATTGATGATACCGACTATAGCGATTTATGTACTTTTGCACATCCCCACTGATCGCTTTTGCAAACCGCATCATTGCCACCTTAAGGTTTAAAGCTTTTAATCAACTCATTTTATAAATAGAAAATAATAATCGTCATCCAAATTATTTGAAGATTTCTTATTTATTAAAACTAACTCTAAAAAAAATAAAGTCCCTTGATTATTTGCATGTCGAAACTAATTTTTGGTCTCTGATTTTTATTTGCTGTTTTTTTGTTAAACATTAAAGCTAAGTCATTAAATATTTAAAATAAGGAGACGGTACTTTATATACATCTAGTTTAATAAACAAAAAATTTTTCTAACTTTTCAATAATGCATGAATCTATATTTTTAAATTAAAATTTTGGGTAATCCCGATCCTAATTTAAACAGAAAATATCACGTTATCGCATCCTCACTTGAAAAATCGTAAATAGTCTGCTATCCACAACATAAAAACGTCATTACACAACAAACAAAAAACAAAGGTTTTATTATACTTTTTTTTTTTAAACAATTTTTTTACACTTAACTTTTTCCTTTATGGACACAAAAATTTTAAATTAATTTTTAATTTAACGATAAATTTTGTAATCAATAAATTAGTAATTTTGCAATTACATTCTCAGAATTTCGGCGTCGATTCAAAATATTGTATATTTGATTTTTTTTAAAAAAGCATTTATTTCTTGCATCTACTTTGCCCTTAAGTAGTACTAAGAATAATCTACTTTGTTTAAGTACACTTTGACGCACCCACAATATTGCTAAAATTAAAATAAGCTTTTTGAAAACAATGTTTTCTTTGAAACTAAAACACTAAAACAAATAACTTTTTATAAACAAAATGGTTTGTACATAAAAAAATATATATTTATGAGCAAAGGTTTTTAGAATAAGGATCAGAATTACTAAACAAAAGAAACCACGTTGATTTTATACGAAAAATTTCAATTTGTTTAAATTGATTTTTTTTTTTTTTTTATAAAATAATATTTATTTACAATTTTATAAAATACATAACAATAACTCAAGTAGCAAATTTTACAGTTTTAAAATGTATCAGTTTACAAATTTTTAAAAAGCTGTCACTCAGGTTATAATAATTTTGTTATAAAAGAAAGCTGTTACACTAGTTACCATGGATATATATATATATATATATATATATATATATATATATATATATATATATATATATATATATATATATATATATATATATATATATATATATATATATATATATATATATATATATATATATATATATATATATATATATATATATATATATATATATATATATATATATATATATATATATATATATATTTGTGTGTGTGTGTGTGTGTGTATTTTTATTTTTAATTGATACTTTTTGCAATATTTCAAGTTGCAAAAGTTTTAAAAAATAGATGAAACGACAGGTTTCTACTAAAAACCGAAAAAAAAATCCATATAATCATTTGTGGTTGTCGTATAATATACGATGATCATTCAATTTTTTAAATATCTTTTATTATTATCATTATTATGTAAAATGATTTACGGAAAATAAATAGCTTTATATAAAATAGTTTTTGTTGTTGTTGTTGTTGTTGTAAACAGAACTAAAGCAAAAATTACGTTATTTTGGAGGCATATGTTTATATGCCTCCGAAATAACGTAATTTTAAACCATAACATTTCTAAAAGCAGAAACATGCATACGTGTGCACGTACGCATGTATCTCCGTGCGCATGTACGTAAGTATAAACAACTTCTAAATGTAAATTTTTTTAGATAGAGACACGTGCTATTTTTCAAATGTTAACAACTTGGAAAAGTTTGATAATAGAATAAAATAATAATAATAAAACATCTGCTTATGGCTGAATAATTTAATTTTTTTTTTTAACGTAATACAATATTTCTTGTGGTTGTATATCTTCGTAAAACAAGTAATATATAAAAAGTTGAAAAACAATAACAACAAAAACAACAACAACAAACAAACAAATAATAAATCTTCAACGTGACGTGTCTTACGTCTTAAGTAAGTAAAATACGGTTTCCAAAACGACGAAGTAACGTAATCACTCTTATCTTGATGGTGCACCCTTATCTTGACGTAATTAAAGCATTTCTGGATTTGTTATTGATTAATTTATCATGTGTAAATCATTTTCTTTTTCAATTGTATATATTCATATTTGTTTGTAAAATGTTTAACAACTCGATAAAACGTTCTGATTTTACCACATTATTTAAACAGAAATGGATATTGTCAACATACTTTTTAAACGATCTTACATAAAAAAGAGCGATCTATGATTGCTCATTGTGTCTGCATTCAGTGACGGATCTGGGTAGTATAAGAGGTATACCCCCTCATTTTTTAAAATTAGGTTCAACTTAAAAATTGGGTTAAGTTACTTAAATTTGCAATGAGCCTAAAATTACAAATGGGGTGGGTGAGGTAGCCTAGCCATAGCTCTGTATATAAATTAATATATATATATATATATATATATATATATATATATATATATATATATATATATATATATATATATATATATATATATATATATATATATATATATATATATATATATATATATATATATATATATATATATATATATATATATATATATATATATATATATATATATATATATATATATATATATGTATATATATATGTATATATATATATATATATATATATATATATATATATATATATATATATATATATATGTAACCACAAGCAGCCTCCTCATCTCTAGTGGTCTTCTTGGCCTTGGGGAGGTGAATTACAAATTAAAAAAAAAAATTAATAGTTTTTCGGGCCTTTTTATCGCCAAAATCATTGATTAGCGTAGAAAAATCAAGATTTTCAGCTATATCGTTTTCAATCAATAGGGTTTCTAAACTTGAAAGTTTTTCCTGCGACATTGTTGGCCGCAGGTTTTCATAAGTTTTATACAGTGACAAGTATTGTTAGCAAAATTCGAATTGTAATCCATATGTTTGGATACAAATCTTGCATTTTACGCTGTTTTATAAAGTTTAAAAACAATAACAGGAGTAATTTTATCCTTGACCATTTCAAAAATAAAAGGTTTAATGCTCGTCACTTTATCGCAAAGGAAAATATCATTAATGTCCGATTTTAGAATTACGGTAAATTTACTTTGAAGAGCTAAACATGATTTTAGAATTTCTTCTCTTTTTTTTCAAACTATCGACATCATACAAAAAACCCCAAACTTCTGGATAATTCTCCAACTGTATAAATCTTTCTCTCATTGAAATTAGAGATGTGTCTAAAAGAGGATTGAAGAAATCGATTTCTAATTTTTTTTCAGTAGAAAATGAATAAATCTCATCTTGGGTTGGTTCGTTAAAATGGCGTTTTACTCGTATTATTTTTTTAAGTGGTTTAAAAACAGGCTCCACTTGTAATTTTACGGCCAAATCCTTTGCTTTTATAATTGCATCATTAAAACCACATTTTCTGTAGTTTTCTAAAAATGAGCAACAGCTTTTCACTAGTTTTGCTCATTGAGTGATGTCCATGTCTTTCTCTTGAAGAGTTTTACTAACAATATTGACTTGAAAAAGAACGTCATACCAGACAATTAAAGAGACAAGAAAGCTAAAACCTTTCAATTGCTCTGCTAAGGTTATCGCTTCATGTGCAGTTTCAGGATCACACCCTTCAATTTCTCACAATGCTATCAAAGCATCATGTATATCACCAACTTGATAACGAACGGCTTTGACACTACTTACTTTTGCATCCTACCGTGTGTCACAGAGTTTTTTTAAATGTAAAATTTTAACATGATCAATTAAAATTTTCCATTGGCTTACTGAAGCTGAGAATAGAGTGAACAATCTCTGGAGAAAACCATACAAAGTTTTCGATTGTACTGAAGACCGTGCAGAGTCACTTATTAACAAATTTAAACTATGCCGCAAGGAACAAATAATGCTAAAGGATTAAGGTTTAAAATCCTTTTTTGTACCCCATTAATCTTTCCCTTCATATTTGATCCCATATCATACCTTTGACCTCTACAGTTAGAGGTTTAAAGTCCATGTTTAGTTAGCAATTCGATTAAAACTTCAGTAAGTTCTAAGTCAGTAGAATCAGAAACAGAAAAAAATCCTAAAAAGTACTCTTTAACCTCAACTCTAATGTCTAATGACAAATCAACAATTCGAGTTATAAGAGAAAGTTTTTCTTATCTAGAAATATCAGGTGTACAATAAGCAATGATTGAATAGTAAACGACTTTCAAGACTCGGTTTATTACTTCACCATTAACATTTTGAGACATTAAATTTATTAACTCATTTTGAATATTTTTCCCGCAGTAATGATCTGAAGTGTATCCTATTTCAGTTTCCACCCATTATTGATAACATTTCATATGGGAGACGTTATTTTGATGAATTCCCAATGTTTTAGTTAAATGTCTCTATTTAATAAACCTTATTTAATAAAAAGAGACTAAGTTTGACTTTGAATTATTATTAAAAAGTAGATAGCGAAAACAAAATATGGAGTTTTTAGAATCTGAATAAACCAACCATCTAAGGCAAAAGGTTTCTCCATTTGCAAGTTTTCTACTGTAATAAATGCTTGAAAAATGTCGACCATTTCTATCTTCAGGGTATTTTTTCTTTGTAATTTGAAAAGGACCAAGTTTAATTAAATGGTCCACAATGTTGCTAGATCGAACAATTGGTCACTTTCCACAATCCAATAAATTTGATGTTTCTTATACAAAATCTTCCGATAAATCATTTAATTTTTTTAAAATAACTGGTTCATTATCTACTTTGGTATCGAATGAAGTTATACAATTATTTTTGAGTATTGTTGAAGGTTCTCCAACTTTATTGGAAATAGTCGTCGAGATAGTTGAAGCATCAGAGTTGAAATCTTCACAACCTTCGTCAGGTTTTTTATAAGCAACAAATTTTTCAATGCTCATGAATTATTACTTTTTTTTTTTTATTTTTGATCTTTTTTGGACTGTACTCATACCCAGACAAATTTTTTCTCGAATTTAGATATTATGTGACATGCGACAGATTACTTTTTATTCGTAATATAAAACTATTTATATAATTCGAAAAACTGATTTTTAAAATCGAGTCAACTTAACATTTAATAACAAAAAATATGAA